GGCGTTTATTCCCATTGGCATTGGATTTTTCAGAGTTATTAGAGGAATTTGCAGAATTGCTTCTGGCATTTTCCTGTTTCTGAGGTTTTGGTGTTTTCAAAACCTCGGAATAGGTCCTCTTTTTCTGTTGGGTTTCTAAACCTAACTGAATTTTAGTCTCTGACACCATTTTATCACCAGGTTTCTTAACCTTTGGCTGATTTTCGTCATGTGCATGGTGTATAGTATACAATTTCATGCACTGACTGACTAGCCATTCTAATGGTAACTTACAATCGTAATCTCTTGCGAGATTCATTTGTATGTTTACTGGCATGGCATGAAAATACAGATCTTTGAAGTCTGTGCTTTCATACCTGGGTTTTCTTTGGGCCACGGAGTATGCATTTTTAAGAATTATTAAAAATTCTCTGGGGCTTTGATCTGGACGGCACTTTAAGTTATAAAGCGCCTTCTTTGCAGAAGCAATGGTTTTATACTTACCATATTCCATGATTATTTCATATTTCATCTTGGACCAGGACATTAACTGTATAGCTTGAAGACTTTCTAGATAAACACGACACATTGAATCAAAGGTCCATGTAATGAACCATTTCTTATGAATGTCATCATACATGCCCAATGAATTCATTGCTCTATCATAATTTTCCAGATGTTCAGATATGTTTCCTGAACCTCTAAAAAATTGTGGGACAGTTTCTCTAAGGAATTTGATGACCTTTGGTGTTTCATAAACAGGCGTCGTTGAATTACGACCTCTGTTTCTGTGTTTGGGTAAACGTCTATGCGATCTGTCTGCTGAAGAGGAATTAGACCCGTACAACAGTGCAGATGGCATATCAGTTACATGGCCTTCAGAGTGGACAGTGCAATCACTTTCACTCCCATCACTCTGAGCTTCTTGTTCACTGTCACAATTCTGATCAGCATCAGAATTCTGCCAGTGTACAGAACCATGTCTGTTTTCATTCCTATCACCTTGAATTGGACTCTCCCTCTCAAGTTTGGCCAAGACAGCTTTTTCAAACTGTTCTGCCCAAGATTGCCAAGTGGCTTGGTAATGTCATGAGATGGGGAATCTTGTTCCACAGGTGATTTTTTAGAATTACTCACACCTTTACTTACAGACTGTTTTATGAAAACCTGGTTTGGTGTGGGAAAATCATAATAAGGAGGGGATTTACAGATAGTCTTTTCTTGCATTTTTGTGCAACTTTTTGGCACAAAATGATGACTACCAACCTCACTGTCTGATTTCTGACTCTCCTTTTCATACTCATCCAATTGCATTTTAAGCTGATTTATTTCCTGTGCATATTTATCCGTCAAAGCTTTCATTTCTTTTTCATGATCAGCCTGACGAGTTTTATGCTCAGCAAGTAAATCTTGGTATTTCCCATTTTGAATGCCCAGATCGTCACTGTACGTGTCCAATTTGGCATTCAGTGACTTGTTTTCATCACACACCTTAAGAAGTGCTGTCATAAAGAAAGGCCAAGAGTGTATTATGAACGCCATTTTCCTTTCTATGTTCTTTTGTTCAGCAATTTCTTTAAGATATATGATGATGTGTTCATCAGTTAGAATGGTGTGTCTAGCTTCCCATTCTATGCTTTTCAACCAAACCTCATAGGTTGCATTATTTTTCATATGTTTATGAATATGAACTAGAGCATGTTTTCTTAGGTCTTCAATTATTTCAGTATTATCTGTTACAGATTTATCACTGCCACTGGCCATTTTTATTTTTATTTTATTGATTAATCTCAATACAAAACTCTTTTCTATATTAAGATTAAATTGCATGAATTACACCAATATTATTATTATATATGAAATACAATTTCAACTTAAACGATCTCAGCAGCCTCCAATATGTGGGGATATTTATGGGATAATAATAGTAACAGTGAGAATTGCCCACTAATTCAATTCTCAGATCCCAAAGAACGTTTATCGTAAGTGAAAGTATTTCATATAATTAATATCACGATGTATAAAAATAGATTTTTATTTATGATAACCAATAATTAACAAATAATATTATGTAACATGCATGACAATAATCAATGAATATTCAGTATAAAATTATATGCAATACAAAGGAATGGGTATTACGTTTCAATGGCTAAAACAGCATTATCTGTCAAGACTTATTTATTACCATCTTTAACACAGACTGAAAGTAAAACTTTTCACACAGAGAACAGAATTCCTCAGAGTGCAGCGTAAGGTCGTAAAGTTTAGCAGACAGTTAGAATAACCCTTTCAATGCTGGCTAGATCTCCTAGGTAGTTAAGATCTATTCTTATGTATTTTAAATAAAATAACATTTAAACCAGTTCATTAGTCATTTTCTTAAACCATCCATAAGAGAATTTAATATATTATATAAGCAGATTTTTAATTTGTCTAAAAGATATCTATCTTAATTTAGAGCAAATCAATACACCTGGATAAAAACAGCGGTATGCTAACACGTGATAATATCACATCAATATATAATTATTCTTAATTCCACCTGCAGAATGGAATGTTTATAACTATATATTCTTAGTTAACTAAGATTTCTTAATATGGAAATCTGACCGTGCTTTATCCAGTCATATATAATGCTATTAATACATTTTAATTAAATTAATTTAATTAAATGAAACCAGTATAATTACCAGTTGAGTAGATATTTCATCCGATTGGTAGTCTCAGGAATTTATTTGGATGTGTCTCTGCATGGAGGTTGGAGTCCCCAAACTTCCAATTCCTCTCTTTTCTCTCCTCTGCATCTCTTGCATCTGCCTCCTCTCGTCTTTTCTTGTATCTTCCCTTTGTCTTAACTTTTAAAGGGCCATACTCTCTGTACGTCATCAGTTGATAACCCAATAGAAGCACTAGAGGTGTGGTTATCTTCCAGATCGCAAATTAGTTATTTGGTCTGTAGAGGGCAGTCTTGCCCCACTAAACATACCTATCCAGGAAAGAGTTAACTTTTCCTGGTGGCTATTTTGACGTCATTTTGCATTATCTTTATAGCGCCATAATTTAAAATTTCAAAGGGTTTCTTAAATTTTGTCCAGACTTAGCGTCTGCAATTCCTGCCATAATTTCTGATATGACAGATCATGAACTAAGTTTACCCTTTTCCATACAATGGTACCTTATATATATAGACAGTTAAATATTAAATTATTTAATCTTCTCTGTCACAATTGTCTGGGTTTAGATTTGATTATATTCCATTAGCATTAGACAGTCTGTCCAACCCCCTTCCTTATCACTTGTTTATACTATGCATTCCTTAGCTCTGGCAAAGAGGCCAGTCTTACAGAAAGAAATCCTGTGTCTTTTTTGTTAATTTGAAATAACAAAATGGAGTCTGGTCTGTTCAGAGTGACTCAGAATATACACTTTTAGTTTCTATCATAGCACAAAATGTCTGCCGATATAAATACTCTGACACCCTTTACATCTTTGCAGTATCAATTTTAATTCCATCCTGGCTGGCTGTTGATGATGAAAGGAGAGCATTGGGGGGTTAGGAGGAGTTAATCGTTTACAGCTCTCTATGTCACTCTGTGTGGGAATAGATATGTCCAAGTTTGTTTCTCTTTATGTCAAGGTCACATCCTATGTAAAGAGGCCAAAATAATATATTCTTTTTTTGTTGTTGCTATCAGTCACATTATACTGTTGAGTTAATGACCAATTATCAGCACAGTCCCTCATAATGGCCAGGTCTCAGGATAAATAATGATATGTATGTGGAACTCCATGACTTGCCACAGTACTTATCCTACTGTGGAAAGTTATCCTAACAATACAACCTGCTGTAGTGCCTAAGTTTCCAGGACTTCCCTGGATGCCATCCACAATAATAAACCAGACCATGTTTGAACAATTTCACTTACCTGCGTTCTCCAGGAGCTTGCAGTATCCTGCTTCACATATATAGACCCTTCCACATTACAATTTAAATTCCATCCTAGTTGGGATGAAATGTGTATATCTAATGCAGAAAGGGAAATTCCGCTTTGTCTCTATCTGTGTAGACCAGGGTTCTCCAAACTCTGGTCCTCCAGGCAGATGTTGTCTAACTACAACTTCCACGATTCGCTTGCTATCGATTCGTTCAAAGAACCATGAGAGTCGTAGTTCAGCAACATCTGGAGGACCAGAGTTTGGAGGACCCTGGTGTAGAGAGATGGACGGTGGTGCACAGGAGACCCAGGAAAATGTTAAACTAGTGTAAAATGTTATAACTCTTTATCGTGAGGGGTACTAGAGGATTCCTTGCGCACATTGTACTGTTTATAGAGCTTAGAATATCCTTTTGTTAAAAAAAAAGAGCAACTTAATTTTCAAGTACTCGAAAATTCACAAGATGAAGCGCACAATAGACTTTATTGCATCATAGCATGTCACTATAAAATAAACATTTAAAGATTATATAAACCAAAAGTTTCAATCAAATATTAATCTGTGCAAGGTTAATAGATGGAATCGCATCACAATGGGGGAGAATATTGGAGATGGAAGGTCATTCAGGTTCCTGTAGACAATTTGATGTTGGTTAGGTGCAAAATCTCAAACTGGAGGAAGATACCATTCAGCAGTTTGGAAGGTAGACTACCTCTGTAATGTGGATTGACTCCAGTTAGGATAACCATCAATCTTAGTAGTAAATATGGGTGCAAGCTCCCGAGGACTCCTTCCATTTAAAGAAATAAATAAAGATACAAAACAAATCTCTTCTAGAAAGAGATTTATTCCATAATAAGTGGACTCATATCACATATCAATCCAAACATAAGATCCTGTTTTTGGTATATATGTTGAAAAGTCCATTTATGGTAGAATAAGTCTCCGTTAATAAAACATTCTAATCTATTTGTTCTTTCTTTACCTCTATAATGTGATCTACTTGATGTTAGATACTGTGTTGCAAAGTGCTGCAGAAATATTCCAATGAATAAGACCATTCTAAATATGTGCTGTATTAAGAATTGTTTGTTATCTTTAATTCCAGCTCTGTCCCTGGCAATGCAACGAGATGGCTCGAGTGGTGGTGTTATCTATCTTGTAACAACCACCAAGGAAGGAAATAAAGAAGTCATCATAACTGGTGACAACATTCCACGCTTCTATGACCTGTAACTGTGCAACTGCTTTATGGTTCGCACAATCATCAATAACACAAATCAATACAGGTTTCCATAATATGAATGTGAACACAGATCGAACAATGAAGGAAGGGACTGGGACTGGGCATGGAACTAATGTAATGCTCCATGTCTCAGTGAACTGGTTGGCCTTCATACGGGATCCGGTAGGGCTCTGAAGATATCTTGAAGCCATGCATTGTTTGAAGACTGGAATTACAAAACTCTGTATCTCTAATATGTGTGTACACACACACACTGGTCTTTACTTATTTCAATACATACCTTTAAAACTCTACCTGTGCTGACCTGTTTTTCTTTCTTAGTTTATCTTTGATATACTTTAAGGGAAGGCATATTAAAGTTAATAACTTCCAAAGTAAACATAATTTGCTGTAAGATTGAAAATTAAAACAATTTTTAAAATTAGCCTATGTGAGTCACAGCCAGGGGACGTGTGGCATAATCAAAGTGATTTAACTCCTAAAGGGCAGAAAGGTGAACAGTGAGACTGCAGGTGCATGAGTGCATAGACTGTCCATTTAACATGAAAGTAGCTAGATTTAAGCCTGTCTGGATGCAACAAAAATCTGGATCTGAATGATGGAAACAAACAATCAAACGCACTGTTTCAACAAAACTGATCAAGATTTGGTTGCACCAAATTTAAACAATTCAGGTGGACCGAATTTGCAGGTAGGTAGTGGCAACTACTTATACAAGATATCATTACGAAAATCTGCTTTTAGCACCGCTGTCATGGCTAACCCCATAAGAAAAATGGTTAATTTCATGGAAAGTTTAAAAACACACACACAAAAAAAAAACAACAACAGCTTGGAGGAAGTGATGGTTTCCTCCCAGCTCTGAAGTCATCACAAGGGCCCGGTCGCGCTCTTAAAGTGCCACAGCGCTGACTGGGCCAATCCATTACCAAGGAAATCCATTGCCATTGGGTGGCCCCAAGAGCATGGGCCACCCGATTGGCCACTTCAATGTAGATGAGGTGGGGCTGCACCACAATGCTGGCAGGCACCCCGATTGCAGGGGTTGCCGGGTGGCCAGGCCCCCTGGAGTGATGGCTATAGTTACCCCAGTGCTCACATAAAACAAGGCACATATAGACACTTATGCAAACAGCGCCTTGACTCGGGTTAGAGCAATAGTCCCCAACCCAGTCCTCATAGACCATCACCATCCAGGTTTTGTCAGTATCTCTGTTGGAATAAAAAAGGGAAATGCATAAATCCTGGACTGTTGGTGGCCCGTGAGGACTAGGTTGGGGACCACTGGGCTAGAGAATACCTGTGTAAACCCCTAATTGATCATCTATGGATCCCTCAGTCGCAACTCCAGCGGGTCCTTGAACTCCTCTTATCCTGCAGTCTCTTAATGGGGTTACTTGTTGTAGCGGATGGCATTGGGCTGTCCTAAAAATTACAGTCATTCATATGTGTTCGGTTGAATTGTAACCTATGTATGTGAAATGTATGCAGCATTCGACTGATTGTTCGGTAGAATCACTCCATTTATTATGAGAGTGAAACTACCGAACAGTCAGACCACCCCAGTAGTAAGTGTGCCTCCAATTACCGTTTGCAACAATGTTGCGAACGGGTAATTGGCAATCCGTGCAGTGGGTTCTTTTTTCTTTGGGTGGCCGCCATTCGGGAGACGAACACATGGCGGCGGCCATTTTAAACTCCCGAACAGCGGTGTTTTGCTGAGACCTCCACACTCCCCTTAAATTCGAAAGAAACACCCGAACAAGGGGATTTATGCGAACTCTCCTTAGTCTCCATAGCATAAGTCTTTCGTGCAGTTTATTCCCTTTTTCTGTAACCGACCACAGGGCCAAAACTCATGGAACCAATTTCGGTTGTTCCTTCCAGCGCGGTCAGTCTTTTTATTACATCCACAAGTTTCCCGAACCACTGGTCCGATCTGGGTGATTTTTGGATATGTCACTCACCCAGATCAGAGCTACCAGGGGGTGTAATATTTCAAGGGGTACCCCTATGTTTACAGGTACATCCAGAAACCCAGGGACTTTGTGTCCTGTATAATGGGATTATGAGTCAAGCTAAGGGGAGGAGATGTGTGGATGGCTACTCAGGTATGATTGGATACTGTACTAATGAGTGTAAATCCCTCCCTTGCATGGGAGAATGCTTTATAAGGAATCTGTGTGATTAAAAGTTCAGTTCTGCTCCTGATGCTGTGTGTCGTCCAGTCATTGGGATTGATGTTGGGATATTGCTGGATTGTTTTGCCTGCTGAAAGCCTTGCCTTATGGATTTATAATACTTGTTCCTGAGCCTCACTGGGATCTTAAGTGGAGATAACCTGTGGAATATCAGCTCTCCGCTACACTTGTCTTGATCTGCTGAGGTATTTCTTAGTTCAAAGCTCAAAATTTCCACTTGACACTAGCAATTGACGAGTAAACATTTAGCCCTTGTGACCATACTATGGCTTGCACACATTTTAGTGCATCTTGTGGGAACATAGTGTCCAAATATACTGTATAAAGGGTCCAGGAGTTTAGGCATCTCCTGTCTTCAAACATTTCTTTGCATTTAGGGGCTTAATATATTATTCATAAAGGGCAGAGACAATTGTGCATCTCTTGGCCCTTTAAAAGATAAATTACTGTTTTTTTTATCGTATAATATTTGGATGTTAGGATAGAAAAGTGAAAGCTTAGCACAGGATTGAGAAGAAAATACATAAAGATTCGAGTTGGAGTGTTTGTGATATGTGTGTAACAGTGGACCTGTGAGTGTTTCTGTATGAGAGAGAGTGAGTGTGAACATGTATGAAGGTGAGTGAATCTGTGAATGTATTCCTCTGTGTGAGTGCAGAGTCTGCCTGCATGCCCAGAATACTAGGAGGTGACCTTAAAGGACCACTATAGTGCCAGGAAAACATACTAGTTTTCCTGGCACTATGGTGCCCTGAGGGTGCCCCCACCCTCAGGGACCCCCTCCCGCCTGGCTCTGGAAAGGGGAAAGGGGTTAAAACTTACTTTTTTTCCAGCGCTGGGCGGAGAGCTCTCCTTCTCTGATCCTCCTCTTCTCCTCCCCGTCGGTTGAATGCACACGCGCGGCAAGAGCTGCACGCGCAATCAGCCGGTCACATAGGAAAGCATTCATAATGCTTTCCTATGGACGCTGGCATGCTCTCACTGTGAAAATCACAGTGAGAAGCACGCAAGCGTCTCTAGCGGCTGTCAATGAGACAGCTGCTAGTGGAAATAGGGGAAGGCTTAACCCATTCATAAACATAGCAGTTTCTCTGAAACTGCTATGTTTATGAAAAAATGGGTTAACCCTAGCTGGACCTGGCACCCAGACCACTTCATTAACCCCTTAAGGACTGGACTGTTTTTGCGATGTTGTACATTTGCGACCAGGCATATTTTTACACTTTTGTGGTGTTTGTGTTTGGCTGCAATTTTCCGCTCTCTCATTTACTGTTCCCATACAAATTATATATTGTTTTTTTCAGGACAAAGGGGCTTTCTTTACATACCATTATTTATATAATCTCATGTATTTTAATTTTAAAAAAATAAAAAAATATGATGAAAAATTGAAAAAAATACATGTTTTTTGACTTTTACTTGAAAAATCTTTTACTCATCTACAAAAGCGAATTAAAAAACTGCTAAATAGATTCAAAATTTTGTCCTGAGTTTAAAAATACCCCGTGTTTACATGCTTTTTTGCTTTTTTTTGCATGTTGTAGGGCTATAGGTACAAGTAGAATATTGCGGTTTCAAAACATAAATTTTTTAAATTTATCAATAGTGACATTGTAACACTATTATCTGTCATAAATCTCTGAATAACACCCACATGTACATATTTTTTTTAAAGTAGACAACCCAGGGTATTCAATATGGGGTATGTCCAGTCTTTTTTAGTAGCCACTTAGTCGAAAACACTGGCCAAAGTAAGCATTCATATTTGTTTGTGTGTGAAAAAAGTAAAAAAATTAAATTGAACGCTAATTTTGGCCAGTGTTTGTGACCAAGTGGTTACTAAAAAAGACTGGACATACCCCATTTGCAATACCTTGGGTTGTCTTCTTTTGCAAATGGTATGCCATCATGGGGGTAATTCTCATTCCTGGGCTACCATACGCTCTCAAAGGCAACGTAACCAACCTGGCCATTTTCAATGTAAAAATATTTGACTCATATATTTGACCCTGTAACTTTCAAAAATACTATAAAACCTGTACATGGGGGGTACTGTTTTACTCAGGAGACATCGCTGAACACAAATATTAGTGTTTAAAAACTGGAAAACGTATCACAACAATATCATCAGTAAAAGTGCTGTTTGTGTGTGAAAAATGCAAAAAAAGTCACTTTCACTGACAATATCATCGATGTGATATGTTTTACTGTTTTGAATCACTAATATTTATGTTCAGCGAAGTCTCCCGAGTAAAACAGTACCCCCCATGTACAGGTTTTAGGGTGTCGTAGAATGTTACAGGGTAAAATACAGTGCTAGCAAATTCAATTCTCTGGAATTTCGGCCTGGGTTGGCAGGCAGGTCCCTTAAATTGCAATCAATAAAATTACTGAATTATGTAAAACTATTACATAAATACGCACGTAAAATTTAAATATATATGCATATTTATATATTTGAAGTCTCCGTGTATATTTATATAATTTTTTATGTAATTTTGTATATGGACATATGTATATTTCTTATTATTTTTATTTATTTTTATATACATAGATATATATACAAATTCATTCTAAGTGTATTTTGATATAAATATATATATATATTAATTTTAAAATACAGTTAGAATAAAATTTCATATAGATATAATTTTTTTTATTTTTTTATTATTATTTTAAATTTTTTTATTTAATTTAAATTACTTATTATTTATATTTTATAATAATATATATATACAATATATAGTTATTATATATATTATATATATATGTGTGTAATTTAATTATAAGTGTATTTTTATATTAATATAAGTACATATTAATATAAAAATACACTTAGTATGGCATTATATAGATGATATATAGACATATATTATATAGATATATTATATGTCTATATATCATATATACACCTATATAATTATTATTATTTTTTTTATTACCATTAACTTTATTTTTATTTTTGATTTTACACTAGCAGGGAGACTGCCTGTCAGCACAGGCAGTCCCCCTGCAGGCAGCACTATGGACACCTATTGTGACCATGTGATCGCTGTGTTAAGCGATCACATGGCCACAGGGGTCCTAAATCAGTGTGGGGAGACTGTCTGGGCTGCAGGCAGTCTCCCCACAACCGGAGGAACACTGATCGCCGCCGGGGGAACGACGGCGATCAGGTAAGTACCCCCAGACCGTTAGGACGGTTCAGGACCGTCATCGGTCC